TTTCTGAGGATCATTACTCATTTTCTGTTTTCTTTATGCAAAGCTATTTTATGTTAGGTGCCAATGACTCTAAAGTATGCCGAGGATTTGAAACTCTCATTATAAATATTTTATAAAACTTCCATCTCTTTCTCTGTATTGATAAAGAAGCAAACAAATAAAAGTTGGTATTTTTACCTAACAGCATACAACAAATGCCTTTTCTTAACCAACATTATTAAAGCAATATTAATGTAATAGGCAGACTATTCAAAAGATATTAATGTTATAGTCAGACTACTCAGAAAAGGAATGGTTCTCTTCCTGATTGCTGTTCAGTTAGACTCAAATATAAATGAATTCTAATATTAGTTCTCCTTCACTTCCATTTCTCAATCTCTTTGTCCATCAGTCAATTAAATTAATTCAATTTGTCAGTTGATATGAAAAGGAAAGGAGCAGCTTGTCCATTTAGATTCCATTCAATAGGTAAATTTTCTTTACATTCTGAATGTAGAAGTAATAGAATTAAGTAGAATTAATTTCAAAATGGTTATCAAAAATTACTTAAATGATTGTACGTTATGCATTGGTTAGTACGTTGTGCATAGTTAAGTTCGAAGATAATACGAAAAATTATTTTAATTTGCTGTCTGTTTACCTTTAAAGTTCAGATAAGTCTTCTTAAAAGTAAGAAATCCTGAGTTCAGATAATGATTGTTTCATCCCATCTGTCTAATAATTAATTACTTATATGGCAATAACAAGTTTAGTAGTTCTTTTTCCATAACTTCTGAATGCTCAGGTGTTTTTATCATGCTATATGAAAAGGGAAAAATACAGTATGTAAAGTTACTTGATTAGACTTAAAATAGAAATCATTCAATATTACTAAAAGAATTTAAAGAAAAAACGTTATAACGGTCGTCATTAAGCAGCATAATTGCGTAACAAGATTTATTTGCATGCAAAGAATAATATTCATATACACGCCTTCCTATGGAGCAGGGCCGCCACCTCCACTTGTGATACCGATGCAGTCGCACCGGGAAGGGAATTTGGCAAAAATTTTTTAATTTAAAAACAAACTGGGTGGTAGAGTTTAAAAGTTGTAGAATTTACGCAGGACAGCTAAAACCCTAACTCCAGTTCTGCTACTCTGACAGAAACCATTTCATTATAGTAGTAACAATAGCAATTTCATTGTAGTACGGAGAACCATGGAGACCCTCTGGGTCCTGTAGAGCTTTGTTCTATGTGGATAGTTAGTAAGCATGAACGATACCTGAATGACTCTACTGGTAACTACCTGGTCTTCCCCTTGACCTATCCCTGTACCGATAGTAGCAATAATATGGAATTAACGAGGAAATTGTGGCGCTAGAGCAAAATTCCATCCTTACTGAAAGCTTACTTCAGAAATTTTAAATACTAACCAATGCATAACGGACAATCATTTAAGTAATTTTTGATAACCATTTTGAAATTAATTCTACTTACAACTTTCTGCATTCAGAATGTAAAAGAAATTTCCCTATTGAATGGAATCTAAATGGACAAGCTGGTCCTTTCCTTTTTATATCAACTGACAAATTGAATTATTTTAATTGACTGATGGACAAAGAGATTGAGAAATAGAAGTGAAGGAGAACTAATATTAGAATTCATTTATATTTGAGTCTAACTGAAGAGCAACCAGGAAGAGAACCATTCATTTTCTGAGTAGTCTGACTATAACATTAATATCTTCTGAGTAGTCTGACTATTACATTAATATTGCTTTAATAATGTTGGTTAAGAAAAGGCATTTGTTGTATGCTGTTAGGTAAAAATACCAACTTTTATTTGTTCCTCTTAACTTTAGGGTTGATGTTAAGAAGAACAATAAAACTTTTATGGGCAAAACATTTCTAACTATACCGAGATTCATTGTGAAATTGTGGAGTTACATTAGGAAACCGTCACGTTCAGACATCGTGAAGTGGGGCCAACAATTCGAGCATAACTGTATAGGCTTTTCTGATGCTGATCGGCGAGGAACGCCATCAGCGTTGATCGCTAAAGACTTTAGGCTGATGCAATGGCCCCTCAGAGTAATAGTTTCAGAAATTTCTTACGCGTTGATGTCGGGATGGACATTAATTTTCTAACAATGAACAAATGTAAACAACAGTTCTATAATGACTAATGAGCAGGCATCTGTCGGCAACGAATTGAAATAATAATTAAACATTAAGACAAATGTTTACAGAGATTGAGTGATTATGTTGAAAAATAATGTGATGGGTTCCGGTCACACTCTATTGCTGTGTGCTGCTCTGTAATATTTTCTCGAAGAAATTCCTATACATAGTAAACACAAAAGGTTAAAAAATTAAACGAACCACCTAAGAGAATATCAAAATAGTTGGTATGAAACTAGTTGTTTATAGAATATGATGTTGAAACTATGCACAGTGTTTACTAACAAGAAAGAAAGGTCATATCAGGTAAAATGCTAACTGCTTTGTGGTGTTGCGCGGCCCCAACCTACACGCAACAAGAATAGTGACTGCTATAAACTGGAAAGTACACAAAACTCTTAAGAAGGGTTTAACTCCCTTTTTATTCTACTTTAGAAGTTACAGATGCGTGCACTTGACGCTCACAAACTACGCCGACCCGGCGGCAAAATAAAAATAAGAAACTAAAAATGAATAATAACAAGTTACTACCTACGAGGCTCTCTAAACGTAACTAACCTAACCGCGTTCTAAGATACCGCTGATATTTCAGCAAACTTCTGAATATTAAGTTGAAAGATTCGACTATCTGCCGAGGCAAGCACACAGGCCGAAACGCGCGGTTCTTCAATTTCTACCTAGCCACCTTCACGCTCGTGAAGCAAGAAAGCACACTTACGAACTCGTTTCCCTTCTATTTAACTCAAATTTACTTCCGCTGACAATTTGAATACTTTGCGCGTTCTACTAAAATTTACATACTCTGGCATTGGCAATTCCAGGGGAAAGTAAGGCTTGACAGGAAAGATAGTTTAAACTTAAAATAAATGTTAGTTAAAATAAATATAAACCCTACAGCTTAAAAGAAATGACTGAAAAATTGATGCTAATTTCTCGTCTAAATTTTAGTTTTCAAATTAGCATCGTATCATTAATTATAGCTTTTACTTTAAAGACATTTAAGATATTAATAATTTCCGAAATATTAGTAGCATTGTTACCGTTAAGTAACTTTGTAATAAAAATAAAATAATATCATAGCACTCTTAATCTCAACGATGTATTTTAAGCTAAAAAATAATGTAAATTGCTTTTTTTTAAACTTAGTAATCCAACTGTTTTCTTGAAACTAACTTCAAAAAGCTCTTTCTCTCTCTTTTTCATTTAACTCAATACATTTAATTTTTACATAGACATTATTTTATGCTTTTATTATTGGTCAACATACTTTCACTTCAATGCATCTTCTGTGAACTGGTTTGCCTATACTCGGCCATTGAAGGCACTAGCCCGTTTCTGGTAATTCCTCACTTGAAAATTAGCATCTGAACGATTACTTGAACGTATCAATCAGCGAGCGTTATCCCTTACTTACACCTTGAGCGTTAAAATATCACGAATATTATCTGAACGAGTTCGCCGTTTTCAAAGAAAATATGGCCTTTACAGAATATCAAATATCTATCATTTTACAGAATATCAAATATCTATCATTTTGTATTGCTTAAAGAATAAAACAATAAAAAACGGCAAAAATTTATTTTAAAAAAGGAAGCATTTGCAGATGAGTTCTTCATTATGTCAGTAGTCGAAATATTTATGAGTTACTGAATGTACATTAAAAAGCACATGAAGTTTTTCCATTGATTCAAAAGCGTAACAAGAGTCAAAACTAGGAACAACTTTAACCAGGCACGAAACCTGGCACATTATTACTATGATTCCATCCTTCTCACAGAAATCTTAAAAATTCAGCTTGCTAGGTTCAATCAAACCTCCATTTTTTTCTTGCTTTGTGTGATGCCTACTACCCACAATTACAAAACTGAATAATATCTTTCTATCTTCTTGTGCCAGTGGTTCTCAACTTGTTTTGCCTCGTGCACCTCTTTCCCCATCGCCATTTCTCAGTTTTTTTTTTTAATTCGAAAAATACATAGATACATTTATTTAAATTCCGATTTTTTTAACATGTTTTATAAATTAAACAACAAAAAAAAAAAAAAAAAAAAAAAAACAAAAAAAAAAAAAAAAAAAAAAAAAAAAAAAAAAAAAAAAAAAAAAAAAAAAAATAAAAAAATTTGATAAATACTTAAACTTGAATAAATTTTTTTTTGTTACATTCATAAACTAAAACTGATACTTAACAACGAAATAAAAGTCTGACTGTATTCCTCCTCATTTAAGCTACGAAATCCTCCCAGGAGAGAATATCCCAGTGTTTGAGAGCCCCTATTCTAATGAAACAGTTTTAAAGCAAATAAATATGTATTTTTCAACACGCTGATACCTAATTATTAAAATAAACATTTATAAATTTCGTATAAATTTGAACGGAATACTCTGATACACATCAAGACTGTAAGTCTTGCCATGTAAAACAGAGTAACAGATTTTAGCAGAAGCGCTTTCAGCGGTTGAAGCAGTATAGCTAATACTTTGACTACAATGCACACAGGCGACTATAGTTGACGTGCACTGCAACGAGACAAATGAATATGAGAAAACAAAGTTGACTGACGCTAATTTTATTTAACAGCAACTCTTCAGATGCAGTGCTCAAGAAGGCGAAACTGTTGAATTGCTGAAAGCGCTTTTTCTTAAATACGATCGAAATTAACTAAGTTTTTTTTTTTTAAAGCCCTTAGTTTTACGTCGCGTGTCGTTCTTTCCTATTTTTCAGAGTAATTATTCTCATCTAAAACAGGAGGTTCAAATGAAGACTAGATAATCAACATACTAAAACAATAAAAAATTAAATTGTTATTAGCGTACGTAAATGAAAGGTAAATTACGTACCTCCTGTATGCACTCCTCCTCTTCAGGACTCATTTTTTTCGTCTCGTACATATTCATTTCTGTTTCCTTGTGGTGCAGCCGAGTTACCAGAATTGTTAAAGTTCAAAACAGAATCTGAAATCAAACAAAATATTGGATCACAAAATAAGTAATTAAGTATATTAAAATGTAATTAATGATAACAATAAAATCCAGTGCTTGTTTCTCAAACTTTGGGAATTCTCGTTCCGAGACAATATTGATTCATATTAATTTTATTAACCTGTTTACATTACACTTTTAATATTAACTTATTTAAAACTTAATAATTTTAATATTGACATAAGATAATCATATAATTCAAGCTTATTGCTCTGCTTCAAATAATTTCTTCTTATTTACATATATATTTTCTTCCTGAATTATGTTAATGCGATGATATCATTAACATAGCGATGATATCAGTTTGAACTAAATAATTCTAATATATACTAGTGTTTAATAAATTCTCAATATTGCATAGATCGTCTTTTATATATATATTTATTCGAAAACGAAATGATCACTTTGCATTATTAGATATCTTTGCGAAAGAATCATGTTTCCCAAATGTTAGTGTTCTTTAGAAACACTTCTTATATAAAATATCATATATAAAAATATCAGTGAATAAAAATATATTTGATTTTTTTTACTTTTATGCTGCTTTTTATGCTATATAAGCTACATGACCAAATCAAGGGGCTTCATAATATTTTGATACATAATATCGAAATCATACAATTGAAATATCTTCACAGAAAAATGAATTTCAATTTCTAAAGATATTCCACTGATTACTTCTTTTGCTTGAAATAGGTAACATACTGAATTTATATTAGCCATAAAATATTTATTATGCTATAGGATTTCGGTGAATTCTCTTTAGCATTATGTATATTATATAGTTTTCACTTAAAGATACAGTTTCTGAATTCATTTCCAAATATTTCTCATAGCTTAGATATTTAGTTCTAATTCAGGAAAACTTTAGCAAAAAAGGTAACAAAAACCTTGCATGAAATGATGTAGTTAAGAATACATACCATTCACGAAAATAATCAACAGCTAAAAATATTCTTCTAATTATATGAAGCACGCAGTACGAGTATTTTATTAATTATTTCATGTAATTGCTGTATCAACAAGTGAATCGAAACATCAGTAAAGAAGTTTCGATATTAAAACTTAGCCCAAAATAGTTCACGACACAAAAGCCCAAGCTTTTAAATACGATTATCCCTCGTAGTATGAGGAAAACTGAATACGAGGATAATCTAAATTTGGTAGTAGCGAGGCGAGTTTTCTTTCTGGTTTTACGTCACTCCAAACCTGAAGGGGGAATCCCTTCCCACAAAAGGAATGAAACAATTAAGGCCCCTTTGGAGCACTAATTGACAGTTTGGTAAGAAGCAAAGACTCTCAAGGTCAACAGGGTCCTTCAACATAAAAATCTCGACTTTTTCCTAGATATGTTTTTACTTAAGAACTTATGGTCAGTCCATAATTCAATGAAGGTTAGGTATACTTTTTGTTTCTTTCGGGTACTTTGTTTTCTGTAATGTTTTCATGCTTTAAGCTAAAACATTTTATGCAATTCGTTGTATTCTCACGAGCCAAATGTGAATGATGTTATTTTTCACGTTTCGTTTACTTTGTCTGCACATTATTTGCTAACATATAATGGCACGAAACGGGAAAGAACTTGTTTGCAACATGATTTATATTTGCATTCAGCACGACATTCCTGCACTAATGAATCGAATCTTTCATCCTTTGCACATACATATCATGTTCATTTACTTTGCCATTTTATAGACATATTTGTACGAATTTATTTTACTTCTAAATATGAAATTTGTTAAAACTATACAATAACTTCTTGCAGAGTACGCGTGAATAAAATGCAATGATTATATATATATACAATGAATACTGAAGCCAAAAGACAGAAAAAAAAAAGTTTCGTTTCATTTGGAAACGCTTTCATTAATCAAGAATAAGTTGTTGTAGTACTTATCCAAAATCAACGATTATGGCAGATGAATTTAAAAGCACATTGCAAGACGGTATTAATTTAATATGATTCTGCAGTAATTCTCAACACAGTTTTCGTTATTTTCAAATCAACTCTAGACCCTTCGATATTAATTATTACAATTTACGAATCAAATTATGTCAACGGCAATAGTAAGGAAACGCATTATTCTTTACACAGGGGATTAAAATGCCTCTGTGAACTAGATTAAAAAAATGAAAAGTTGTCTCCTATTAACACTATGTGTCGAGAAGGACTCTGCGGGCCTCCTGTCACATATTAATACGCCATGTTATTCTCCTGAACAGTTTTTCCAATCCATTAACTCTTCCTTTAGCCTCAGCGGCCAAGTGGTAATGTCGTTTTAACACTGATAGTTCGGTTCAGGGTTCGAGTTCCGACGAACGGACTGGATGCATAAGCAGTTTCGTGGTTTTTCCATGTGTAGCATGTATACGAACCAGTTTCCTTTAAAAAGCGCTCCCCGCAGGCATCCATTCCCTTAGGCTAAACTCTTACTCTATGCTCATGTATAATCATTATGCTCATGTATATATATCATTTTACTAATGTGTAGATTTATTGTAATACATACTGCTTACCTTCATACCTGACAGAGTGTCGGCTTGAGCAAAACGTGAATGAGTCTCTGAGAAAATCATGTAAAATTGTCAAAGAAGTGCATACTGTGGCTATCGTCGTGTTAAAAATTATCTGTCAAATCTCTCCTTCTATAATGAATAACCATAAAAATGATTGCCATGGAGAAAATATCAGTGGAAAAAATGGACCTAAAACTAACCTTCTGTGAAATTATAAGCAAGACACTAAGTTTCGAATAATATGGGGAGTTGGTCACATTTGATGCCAGACGAGGTTTTAATCCCGTATATAAAATACAATTTATTTCTTCATATAAAAATGTTTTAGTGTTTTAAAAAGATAGAAACAGTAGAAGCGTATTGTTGCATTTACGTGCGTTTTTAACATTTCATTTTAGAGTAACCTGGCCTCTTTTTCTCAAATTTCAGATGTAATAAATAAAAATTAAAAAACAAAATATGCTTTGTTTGTAAATACGAAAGTTAAACTAATCAAGGTTTTGCTTTTGAAGGGCATTGTGCGTTAGAGAATTATCACTTCGGTTACAATAATAATATCATGATAAAAACAAATATTATGAAACAGTCTGTTAAGTCATTATTAATAATCACAACACCGGCTTGAAATATCACTAAAATTATCATGAATAATCTTCACTTGCTATTAAGATAAATTGTTACAAATCACAATGATTTATTGCAACGACATAAGCAATGGATTTAGAAGAATTGGATATACATATTCGCACAAAGTTACTTTCAGTCATTCACACACTGTTACATATCCGCACACAATGAAGAAGCAAATATTTATTTATTATTATAATAAGAATCTCATGTCTATTTTTGAATTATTATGATAAAGAAATCATTATTTTTTGAACTATACTACAGGGATATTATTCGATTCCTGTGAATAAAAAGTTGATTAAAATAACTAATGTTTCTGAAGCCGTTATAACTACTAAAAAATAGTAGACATTTGGTAACTATCAAAAACGTTCTTGTATGTAAAATATAATAATTTTCCGATTTATTATTTTCGGCTAGATGCCAAAACGGTTAAACCTAAAACGGGAAAATTTTAAGATTATAATGAAAAAGGAAAGTATATTTCGAAGTACGTTTTCTGCCTCTGTCTTAACATTTACACGAGAAGCTTACAGTATTGTTTTTATTTATAATGATTTCCAAATTATGTGCCGTTTGCAGGAAGGAGCATTTAATGACATTTGAATCTTTATATATATATGGTTTTGCTTCTACTAAGCTTTGTGTAATAAATTAAGTATTAGAAACATTATGTATTAGAAAACTGTATTCAGTTTTTGATATACAGTACTAACGAATCATGCTCAAATATTCAATAACTTGTGGTCTCCTTCATGGCAATTTCTTATGAGGCCTTTTGGATGTCAATCATGCATTTGCGTTAAATAGCATACAATCTTTGACAATTTTCTATTTGCTTAACGAGGAAATTGACTAAAATGTCATTCCATAATTATAGTTGCGTGCCTCAATATGTTCCAGCATTTTAAGAAAGCAGGTGTTTCTTTTCCTCTTGAGATAAACTATCACTATGACTGTACCTTGGAGTTGATTTTTCGAATTAAATGTATACTAAGAAGCTTTTTGAAGGACCATTAGACAAGTTTATATAAAATTTATATGTTTTCATGAAATGTATCCTAAAATGAGTTTCAGTAAACTATATCATAAGCACAAGATCAAAACAAAGAAACTGTAAACATTATTTTGAAATGATTTTAAAGGTTCAATGCTTTCGAAAAAATGCTTTTTACAAGTTATGATTGCTACATAATCAACAAAAGGTAACGTTCATGACTTTTTAGAAGTTATAATTTTCACACTCATCTCATAGAACAAGCAGAACAAGTATCTTCTCCATATGAGATTAGAATTGTCTGGAATCATGGGTGGTTACTTTAGAGAGGATTCACTGTATTTTTAGTTTTCAGACATATTAGCTGTTCCTTTGTAGGATGAGGGATTACGTTGTCATTTGTGAAACGAAATCCTTCTCTTAGAGTACTATGAAATAATAAACGCAAAGCTGAAGAACTGCGTTGCAACAACTTCTCCAACCATAGCTCCAGTTTCTCCTATCTATGGCACAGTACGTCCATTGATCACGATGTATTCCCACACTAGAATTTCAGCCCACCACATACCTGTCCTTTTCCTGTATACATTTACAGTATTCACAGTATTAGGTTCTTAGAAGTTCGAATGACATCTAGAATCGGATAAAAGACTGAAGGAGTTTCAGCTGTAAACTCTTCATCGGGTTCATTGCTGATATGTCCAGTTTGGAGGACAACACGAGCAAAGCTTTCATTTTATTTTAATTGACCAATTATTTTCGCTTGTTGCTATTTAAATTGTCGTTTGACTTAATATGCACCGCGAGGTCCTTCTGTTGAATATGCAAA